ACTGTTAATAGTTTGGGCATTTTCCTCTGCATTTATCACTACCATGATAATTTCAAGAATAAAAATGAACAGTGAAGGAAATAAAACAAGGCATTTAGATTAAGGATTGCCATGTGTCCAGCCTGGTTTTATCAGTAACACAGTTTTACTTGTGTGATACAAAAACTAAAAAAATTCAAATTTATATCTTAAGATATTTTTCTAGTAGAAATCTAAGATATTGAAAATATCATACACCTATTCTGCTAGCAAGCTTCATCAGACATGACCATAATAACGTATAAAATATGAAATTAAAATAAAGTGCAAAATGACAGAAACATAAAGAATCAATAAATGATTTCCACTATGTGCACCTGAATTTAAAATCAAACACAATTAGAAACAGAAGTGTAAACTAAAAGAGTGAATGAATGATGTAAGCTGTCATAAAACTTCCACACTTTATCTACAGAATGCTTTAAAATCCTGAAGACACAAACAAGTTAAAACCACAGCCATAAAGTTAGATACTTATCTTCAATTACATACGAGAACTTTACTGAAATGGGTGACTTCAGTCATGTGCTTTTTCTTTATATGTTGTTAATCATGACAAATTATTTAACAAGATAATGTTATATTTTTTATAACAGGAACTGTGTTGGGAGGTATCTATCTCTACATAGCTTCAAACAGTTAACCTGTAGTTTTTTAAAACATCTCAACCATAGAACAGATATGGGATCATCTAAATAGGAGTCAATTATAACCCCAATCCATAGACCAGAATTAATTAAAACTATCACCATGAGAATGAACCACGTCCTAAGTGAGACTTGTGGTGACAAAAGCTTTAATTGAGGAGCCAAAAAAACACGTCCCATACAGCACTTTTAGTCATTTGAAGAAACATAAATCTAAAACAGTAGAAGAATATGTTAGAAAAAAAAAATTGTGTTGATACAGAAGATTTCATTTTGAGAGTGGATCATAGGCCTGAAGATAGGACTTGCACAAACTACACAGAGGAATGTAGCAATTTGTCAAAAGCAACATAGAAGGAAAATGATAAGGATCAGAAAAAAAAAAGTTCCCTGGACAGTTCCTATAGGGTCATGATTATATTAAAAAATGACAAATAAAACATACAGATAAAGGTCAACAATGTATACTATAGCTGAAGCTATTTAAAATTCAAATAAAACACTAAAAATTATTAAGCCTAAAACCATGAAATAAATACCATTGTAAATCTATGCTACTAAATCCAAGCAAATATCTGAACTTGAGTTTCAGTGCTTGCAATGTTATGTATTTTTTTGATTGATTAACAAATATCAATAATAGAAAAGCCACTCCACTTGTTTTTATGGTAAATAATTTTGGTTCCTACTGCACAACAGTTAAATGAAAAAATACATTATCAGGAAAATGAAAGGAAACTACAAGATCTACATTCACTGTAATGAAAGCTAAGTAAATGATGAATGAGAAATTTATAGTAATAAGTTCTTGTTAACATCTGAAAGATGGAGAAACAATGAAAACTAAGAACTGGTAGAATTTGAACCTTACCACTCAGGTGCCTTCTGTGAATACAAAACTGATGATGGATGAATGTAAAGTGTATGGTCTCCACGAATAGTCTTGTATACACCGGAGTAATGTAAGTAGGCTGCATTAGCAAAGAATCCAGCTACGATACAACGACACACAGCATCAACATCCCCTACAATTAATAGTACACAAGAAAGATGATCAGTATATTTACAAGCAATTTCAACAGGAAAAAAACACTTGTCAATGTCACTAAACTACAATTAATACACCATGCAATAGAAGTTAGTACCCTTTAAATGCCTGTTCCACTGACAACCAGGCTATAATGAACAAATCGAGCTATAACTGTAATGCATCCACCATACATCGTTGGAATGACACACCTGCTACTTGATTAACTGTCACTTATTAGTCAATTACATTCAATTAAGTGTCCTATTATCAGCTTGTTTTGGTTTTTATAAATACCTTTTATGAACTAACCTTCAGATACATTTTAAGATTTACTTTTTTGAAAATTCTGAACTGTTTTATATGAAAATGTATCACATATGCTCTGTAGTACTAAATCTGCGACAGGCTAAAAATACCAATTAAATCAGTTTCTCCCTACGAAATCTCACAAGCAACTCCACTAAATTCTTGTTAAAAATAATTATATTTCATGTAATAAAACTAGTAAAAATTCTTGTCTAGTGTGTGACAGATAATATATAAATCACTGAAAACAAATACACTCTTAGTCTAAGCAAAAACAAAGACAGTACAACATTTACTATGAGGCACAAAAACTTATGTTAACACTAGATAACTTCTGAAGATTTAAATGATTCATAAGGTTGAAGTCATTAGAAATATTAAAATCATGGTAATATCACAAAATTTGTAAATTATAGATGCTTTAGAACTTTTTCTAGTTCCATCATCAATGTGCAAAATTTAAAAAACTTAACATATTTACCACAAACCATTATAAGCTTTAAGCAAGAAGTTGCTGATACAGAGAGAAATTTAGAAAGAGCACATACAAAACGATTAACACGTACAGTACAGGCTGAAAAAACCCATAAAAACACATGAGAAATCAACACACAACTTTATACTTATTGTACTACGCACATGATAGCAGCCAACCCTTTGTTTTCCCTTTTAGTTCTTGCTATCTAGCTAAAAACAAAAGTCCTGTTCATGTAATGGTATTACATTATTAGTCCATGTCTAGTAATTTCTGATAAATACAGTTAAATGAACAATGTATTCAACAATCAACATTTTTAGTGAATAAAGAATAATTAATATTAACACTTTTCTGCACAAGTCACTGTGTTACATTCAAAATTTAATTAAACACCTTTACTATCAAATGTATGTGAATGACATTAATATCATAATGTATGTTATGATTCAAAGTTATATGTTATCTAAGTTTTAGTCCTTAGTTTAAAAGTAACCTTTAAAAAAATCTACTCAAACTTCACAAGTATTGTCATGTGACCCAAAAATATAATGTGCAGATGTACATCTAGACAATAAGATCATTACTTAACCTATTGACACATACATTTCAAAGTTCTCTGGATGAATGCAGTTGAAATAAGTAATACATTTTATCAACCCCCGACTGGTGCCACAACCACCTTCAATACATTTGTTTGAGCTTTATAGCCTACATGTAGAGGTTACACATGCATGTATATAATCATTAGAAAGAGCTTTATTTATACTATAATCCAACAAAAGGTATTTTTAAATTGGCACACAGTTTTCATCACAGGGTACATGTAACTGCCTGTAGTACTGTTGGCTGTTTGGTCAACTATAGCACTTATGGTTGTTTTTTAGATAAATATGTTATTGTTAGAGATACAGTTTATATTTAAGTCTTACTATTATATTTTAGTTAATTATGTATTATTTATGTTTTAAGATGCATAACTGAAAGGTTTAAACATATTTTAGATATACATCAGTTCTCAAGGCTTACGATATTATGCAGTGCATGAAAAGGGTTGTTCATCTCTGCCAGATAAAATATTCAGTTTGAGTGCAAATAACAACTACAGATAAATAACATATTTTTATTAGAAAGATGTAATTGAAATAATGTCATTCCTTCTGTACAAGATACTTATAATCTTTAACAAAATATTACAAGGTTTTGTGAAGATACCTCACAGTACCGTATGTATTGTTACATAAATGTCCTTCCCCAGTCGAGCAGATGTGAAACATGTCCTCCTGTTAAGAAAGGGTTAATTTGCCATAACTTTTTTGTTAAAGCAAACTTACCCTATTTAACACTGATAATGTTTATAGTTTGTAACATGTAAGCAATATATTAAGTTAAAGCTTCACTATTATTTAGTTCAAACAGTATAAACACAAAAAACTGACATAAATGTGGCTAATTATGTGATAATATTTTTATTATGTAATAAAGCATGATTATTTGTGAGTTATTGAAAATAGTAATAATCAGAAACACTAATTTTGATTATTTTTGTGAGTCATGACACTAATCCATCAACCTTTTCTAGCTCAGTATCTTTTACAGGGCTCAAAATGACACTGAGTTTTGAAAAATTCTGTGTTATCTCTTCCTTCAAATTACCTCAACAATAACAAAAAGAATTGTACATGGTTCTGCAGCTCTTATCTGACAAAATTTAAGACCATCAGTAGAAAATTTAAAGATCTATTTCTAAGCAAATTGACCAAAACATTTTAATAGAAAAGAACTGTTCAAATACCTCCTATAAGTAATTCATTCAATTTTTAATGCATTTACAATGATGTGTTTCTCATCTACTAATACGACACACTTTGTTACTCATCTCCATAGTTTTCTACCTATGAACCAAATCTATGTTATAGAAAAATAAAATTATACACATATACACACACAGTTTTTGTAGGAGCCTACAATTTAAATAGTCCTGTTTTTCAGATCACTTTCTGTATGTTTGAAATCTATGGCAAATGCTTCAATTTTTCAATCTTATTTTCCAGTTCTATGCTAAAACCATCAACTCAGATAACTTTTCCTTCATTCTTCTTCTCATAATGTTTGACTTTGTGATGACCTTGACTGGACATGTGTACCACTCTCATCTGTCATCCAATACCACATGTATGTCCAGTTGTTTAGTTTTTATTGTTTTGTTCAGGTTTTTGTCAAACACTATAGCATGACTGTCATCATCCACTTGATGAATGGTGCTAATCAAGTATGCTGTTTTGTTCTCCTCACATGTGAAAGCCTATGCTACTTAATTATCCAGAAACATAATTGGGAAAAGTGATCCAATTTTATCATTAGTGTTACATGAGTAATGGTAAGACATAGTGTGCAAAGTTCATAAAACCTTACCTTTCAGTATGTCTAATTAACTGAATACATGAGTGAGTGTTCTGGTAGCTCATGTACCTTTGGTACTTGTTTTCATAGCAGGATCACTTGCAGACACAGTTGGACTGGACACATAATAAGTTATGGTATTTGTTTTCATGCAACAATGATAATCCTCTTTTCTTCGTGTTTCTCACAATGCGTATGTAAATCGAGTGCCTTTATACGCGTCATTCCAAGTTTGAAGGACTTGACAGACACTGTGCAGTTAGCTTCATATTTACTGCTGTTGTCTCACTTCAACCGCTTGCAACGTTTGATATCCCCCCCCCCCACCACCACCACTTATGAAACACGTATTCTCCCACTGGTCCATGTGAAATGTTATAGCCTTTCAACTTGATGCTGCAGTTTAATAGTATGGGTCAACGAACAAAGAATTGCCATTTGTATGACATCTGTTGTGCATGCTTGCTTGGGCCTGGATGCCAGACAGCTTTACTGTTTTTACAAAAGTAGTTCCACTTTGTCAAGATGACCAATTCACAGACCAAAACAAAATGTTCACACTCTCAGTACACATACATATTATTATTGTTATGAAATATGTATTTCTACTGATAGCGTGAACATTTCATTTTGGCCTGTAATTGATTTAAGACTCTGTACGAACACTGTAATAGCTGAAATGTTGAGATTTAAAATTTTCTTTTGATTTAAGTTTTATTAACATTTGTTTTAGATAAGGTAATTTCAAAAAATCAAAACTGTTACCTCTTATTTTTGATTCCTTCCCCATTGTTGTTATTATTTAGATGGTGAAAATCATTATACAGAATATGTGTGTATAGCCAGGTAAATAGTCTCAATTTTACTTTAGATACGGTCCAAGAAATGAAGCAAAATGTTAAGAAACTTTACAGGAACTATGAACTTGTTGAATACCTTCATATAGAATTCCTCTACCACAGTACAAACTTCTGTCAGATATTGGTAATATTCCTCAGTAGGAGCTCTAACCTAAAATACCCCAAGACAGATGAAATCCATTAAAATCCTACAATTACCAATAGCATCCATATTCAGATTTTAAACACATTAAGAACCAACCTGCTTGTGAATGTTGGTTATAAGATCCCTAATATTTGCAAGTACAAATCACACAAAAATACCATTAATCCCAGTTCTTTACACATGCTGTAGTGACAGACAAAAACATACAATTATTCGTTATGATGCAGTATGTGGACCCCACAGGTTGTGAACTGTATGTAAGCAAGTTAATAATTTGAGGGTCAAACAACCAATATACCAGCAATAGTACTGGCAGTCTAGTTCACACAAAAATGACCTTTATAGTTTCAGAACACTGCAGAACTTTTCAAAACCGGAGATTTTAGACACTCTGAACATTGTTAACAGTTAGAATAACTAACCTTCTGATGTCTTCAAAGGTATCTTGAACTTTGGTTAAGAGTTTGGAAAGTTGCTTTCTAATTTCTTCTGCCCTCATTAAACCTTTATAGTTGAGGAAGTGCTGTCCACACCATTTTTTGCTTTTGTTTTCCTGAAAGGATTTACAATAAAATTGGTAATTTATTCTGTCATAGTATAATAGTAATACATTTTGTAAACTATTAGGAACCCAAGTGCCCAACATTGTCTTCTAAAGTCATTAATAACACAGGCCTGCAAATTTAAGTTTTGGTTTTAATAGATGGATTTTCCATAATTCAGCTACACAGATTTTGAAAATAATATTCATTTCTTTCTATCATGTAAGGATTTTTTACAAATTTGGAAGAAAAAAAAGCTCTTACTTAGATCAAATTATTATTTCATTTACCACAATGATCATTTTTTATTATTATGTTTGTTATCAAAAATACAAACAAACTGCAGAAAAGGGAAGAACAGTGATGTCAGACGATTATGTATCCTCATTGATCCTGATTTTTTTGGTGAAATCTATGTATTTTAGTCTCAAAACTACTTGTTGTGGTCTTTCTTTTATGTATTGTGTTATGATGTTTTGTGAAAAATCTGTACGTGATGGAGAAAAATGGATATCATTTTCGGATTCGGTGTACAGGAATTACTGTAGAACATGTAAAAATTTCAAGAACATAAAACCATCGCAGCCCTGTGTAATTTCTAGCTCTGATCACTAGTTCTTACTGAAAGTTCTAGAGGTTTTGTCTATACTTTTGACACCTAAGTTACTCGAACCAAAGCTTTAAGACATTAATTTTGATTACATATAAT